TTCTTACACAAGTGTAAAGAAAAACTTAAGAGTTTTATTGAATTGAAGCCTCCCTGAAACTGATATGGATGTGCCCTATTTATAGGTATAGGGGCAGCATTATAATTCTAAATGCAATGGAAAAAAGAGTCCTAAACCTAATCTAGAAAACAAGTAAATAGAGTTTTATTTAGAAAAGGATTTAAGGAATCCTTTCTAAATACAACTAGTGTTTTCTCTTTTATGCCAAACAATTTAAATTAATGATGACCAAAAATAATAGGGCTGATTTGGGCCTAATTTAATCACCAAAATCAGCACTTAAACAATTATAAAAAGCCTTGAATTCTTCTTCATATTTTGCAAATGGGCTTGACTTGGATTTCCACCATCTTTGAACATCACCAATGAAGAGTTGCCTTAATTGTTTGGACTTGGGCCTTGTGATTGGCCCAATTAGTATTCTTAATGGATCTTCATATGTTGGGCCGCATCATCCTCCCCTTCTTGAAAATGATTCGACCTCGAATCTTGTAAGCATTGTCTTCGATCCATGATATCACTTGAAATTGGCCACTATAATATTTTCCTCTATCGAATGGACTTATTATTGGTCTTTGTTGTTTCTTCCACCAATGATGTTTTAAGGTCGTCGTTATGGGCCTTGTGATGAGCCCACTATTTACCCTTTCTGGATTCCATGTGTACTGGTTCCTATTATTAAATTGATATGAACCTAGTCCAAGGTTCAAATAAAGATGGAATATTGTCCCAAGAATGCTCTCAAAATAAAGATAGAGATGGATCAAAATACCTTAAACCTCACGAGAAACCCTTTGTCTCGAATCCTCAAAGACTTGGAAGAATCCCATGTAGCTTCATGTACCTCGATGTTGCAATCTTCAATCAACTAGAGTCGGATCTAGTTTCCTTCGATTCAAGAACGAGTCCACGAACCTAAATCTAAGGTTGAAGAAAGTAAGATTGATTCGCGTCCACGAATCAATTTGCTAGTCGAGTCCACGACTAGCCACTAATTGAGTCCACAATTAGCCATAAGGTTTCTTACACAAGTGTAAAGAAAAACTTAAGAGTTTTATTGAATTGAAGCCTCCCTGAAACTGATATGGATGTGCCCTAAACCTAATCTAGAAAACAAGTAAATAGAGTTTTATTTAGAAAAGGATTTAAGGAATCCTTTCTACATACAACTAGTGTTTTCTCTTTTATGCCAAACAATTTAAATTAATGATGACCAAAAATAATAGGGCTGATTTGGGCCTAATTTAATCACCAAAATCAGCACTTAAACAATTATAAAAAGCCTTGAATTCTTCTTCATATTTTGCAAATGGGCTTGACTTGGATTTCCACCATCTTTGAACATCACCAATGAAGAGTTGCCTTAATTGTTTGGACTTGGGCCTTGTGATTGGCCCAATTAGTATTCTTAATGGATCTTCATATGTTGGGCCGCATCAGCTGCACTAGCCACATTTGTGCAAATTCTAGAATCTAATACCATAGCACAAGCATTCTCTCTAATTGACCCTTTAGCACAAAATATATTTTCTCTTTGAGACTCATCTTCTTTTAAAGGGTGAACATTCAAAACCTCCTTAACAACAAGAGTATGACTAGACTCACTATCAGCATATTTTGAATCAAAATCTAAAGGTATGAAAGGTTCTCCCTCAACATGTTCATTGGGGGTTTCAAAATGGTCACATACCTCATCCTCAGATTCAAGACAAGAAGTAAATTTTTCAGATTGTGTAGTTATCTTAACTACCCTTTTGTTAGGGCAATCACGAGCTATGTGGCCTCTCTCATTACATCTATAACAAATCAATTCTCTATCATGTTGAGGCCTCGCTGCCTCACTTACCTTTTCCTTACCTTTGTCTCGTGAATCATCTCTTGGAGGAGGATGTTCATCACGCCTTTGAGGGGTGGAACAAGTGTTATTCCATCTTGATGCACCGTTGTTGGACTTGTACATTTTCATCTCTTTGATTTTTGCCTCAGATTCACGTGCAGCATACAAGGCATCATAAAGGGTGTCATATCTCTGAATACTCATTCCACATCGAATTTCTAAGTTCAATCCATGTACGAAACGAGCAACAGTTTTTGTCTCTTCTTCATGTATGTTTCCCTGTTCAAGTAAAATATTTATAGTTTGGTGGTACTCATCAACTGACATTGTTCCTTGCACGGTTCCCTGCAATTTTCTTTCAAGATCATAGAAAAAAGATTTAGGGAGAAAGTTTAGACGCATATCTTCCCTCACTTGAACCCAAGATTCATAAGGAATAAAATTAGCAACTCTCTCTCTATTTCTTTTTCGCCACCAAGATAATGCATACCACTTAAAAGATGTAGAAACTAGCCTAATTTTTGTAAGATCAGAATATTGCTTTAAATAAAAAAGAGTTTCAACAGCATTCTCCCATTCTATGTATTCGATAGGTCCTTTCTCACCGGTGAAGTTAGGAATTTCATGTTTAATGTTTCCTAACTCCGTATTACGCTGTTGGATTCTTTCACATCTAGGATCCACTCTTCCTACTGGTGGCAGGTGTCGCTCATCATTGTGTGGTGGTTGCACTTGCTGTGAGCGTTGCTCCAAATTATTCATTCGTTTAAGTAACCTGTCTATTTTTTGTTGTAATTTCTGCGGCAAGTTTGGAACTTGTTGAGCCATCTGTAAACGAAAAAAAATATCTAAAAACAAGAAGATGTGTGAGTAGTCACGTTAGTGAAACCAAAAAGTTGGCTCGCTCCCTCACTATTCTCAACTCGCAGGTAAGAGGTGGATTTTATGGCTCTGGGGGTGCACTACACACTCTTACAAACACACACTCCACTCGTGTATCACTCCAAGTGGCAGATACTCTCACAAGCCTTTTTCCAAAAAGAAAAATTCTAGTCTGGAACTCAAGTTGATGTGGATTCAACCTCAAAGTTCAAGAAAACGTACCTTGGTAAACTTCACAAGCCTTTGAGAGTAAGGGTGTATCGCGAGATAGGTAATAAAATTGAAAGCAAGAAGCAAAGAAAAAGGACAATACGAGCAAAGAAACTAAATAAGATTTGAAAGAAAAAGGAAACCAAAGAAGGAAGTATGACGGAAAGATATGCAAGACCAATATCAAAAGATAGACACAAATAGCATATAAAAGGGGTTCACGTGTACCACAACCAATTAGGAATCTATCAAGAACTCCTTTCAACCTTATACTTTTCCCCTTCCTTGTCCCTCCAAAATTCTCCTACCAGCCAAATTCTTTCCCCAACCTTATTCTTCTTCTTCTTTATTGCTTTCTCTTTTTTGTTTTTTTTTTTCAAATTTCTTTATTTTTTTTGATAAGAAACCTCCAAATAACTACTGTAAATATCAACAAAAAATTCGGACTAAGAGGATCCACTCAACACCTTCAAAACAGAATCAAGAATTTCAAGAATCACCCAGAAAAACAGAAACGCGGCCCTTACTTCGAAGATGAATATCTCAATGACGGTAAGGAATTAGCACGTGTATAATATATCAAAAGAACGCCCCAGAAGAAATCTACAACATATCAAAATATCAGATAAAACTAACCAGTGGATCTCGAGATATAAGTCATTCTTTGAAACTGGTCACAGATCGCGGAAATCTGGACAGGGTGTGATTGAGACGTAACTGCGCGTAAATGCGCTTTGTATATAGGTAAGGGTGATATGGTTTTGTTTTCTAGACAGAATTTTTGGTAATATGGTACTTAGGAGGTGTGAGGTCTCGTTGATATTGGACGGGAAAAAGGGAAAACTCTTTCAGGATTGTTTTTCAAGAAACTGGAAAACATGTATCAAGATTCAAGAACACAATCAAGAATGCAAAGGAAAATTTTTTTGGGGGTTTTTAATGAATAAGACACGAATAAAAGTAGTATGTAAGATAAGAATGAGATAAACCTAGGCTCTAAATACCAAATTGATATGAACCTAGTCCAAGATTCAAATAAGATGGAGTATTGCCCCAAGATTGCTCTCAATATAAAGATAGAGATGGATCGAAATACCTTAAACCTCACGAGAAACCCTTTGTCTCGAATCCTCAAAGACTTGGAATAATCCCATTGTAGCTTCACGCACCTCGATGATGCAATCTTCAATCAAGTAGAGTTTTATTCAGAAAGGGATTTAAGGAATCCTTTCTAAATACAAACTAGTGTTTTCTCTTTTATGCCAAACAATTTAAATTAATGATGACCAAAAATAATAGGGCTGATTTGGGCCTAATTTAATCACCAAAATCAGCACTTAAACAATTATAAAAAGCCTTGAGTTCTTCGCCATCATTTGCAATTGGGCTTGAATTGGATTTCCACCATTTTTGAACATAACCAATGAAGAGTTGTCTTAATTGTTTGGACTTAGACCTTGTGATTGGCCCAACTGGTACTCTTAATGGATCTTCAGTAGTTTGGGTTGCATTATTAACTACTCGATAGGATTGCTCGAGACATTCTCTGAGCTGTACAGTCCGAAACCTTAAAAGTTGAGCGAATATGTCCAAGGAAATGTAAGTCCTAGGAACATATCCCAAGGTCGATATTTCAACTAAACTAGTAATTCCACTCGTGCGTTGCACGGCAATATATGTAAAACATATATATAAATTAATTCCTAAAAAAGAAATATACTGCTGCAAAACATATAGTATGTATTAAACATTATTGAATACTTCTTTATATATGATATTTGTAGTCGTATTTTTTATTGTACATTTTCATCTGAGATCAGTATTTTTAATCCGTTAGGATTACTAACTCTTGACAATGCTACATAAATTTGACCATGATTAAAAACCGGTCTCTTCAAAAACAAACCCACATTTGATAGTGTTTGGCCCTGGTTTTTATTTATTGTCATGGCATATGACAACATTAGCGGAAATTGCTTCCTTTGGAATTTAAAAGGCAATCTTGGATCCGACGGTGTTAAGGACATCCTTGGAATTAAGACCTTTGTACCAGCAGTTGTTCCGGACAGTATTTTAGCTTCTACAACATGATCTGCCAACTTTGAAATAATCATCTTTGTACCATTGCACAAGCCCAATGAGTGATCAATATTTCTCAACAGCATAACTGGCGACCCAACTTTAAGAGTCAATGAGTGATTTGGAACTCCCGAACATCGTAATCCATTTAAAAACTCCGGTGTGTGCAGGTCAGCCAGCATGTCAACATTAGAATCAGATTTGCATACGGAGTCACAACTGATATAGGTCCTTCCTTCAGCATTGTTATAGTCGTTCATGTATTCGTTGACTGTATCTACAACATCAAAAGTAGGTGCAAGTATGGCACGATCTTTTAGGTACTCATTATCTCTGTGGCCACTACGAAACATAGGGAAAGTGCTATCAACAATTGTAGCAATAGGATCCTCTCCACAACTGAGCAAAAATTGTTCGGGAATCTGTATCTCAGATTCTCCATCCATTGAATCACCAATGGTTCCATCACCTATATTAGCAATCCACTTTGCAAAATCAGCAATCTCTTGAACTTCACTATCTGATCTCAAAGATCTAAGCCTTAGATTTTTTGTTAACCTAAAAACTTTACAGCTTCTCCAAAGATAGGATGAATTTATACTTGCTCGCACAATATCTTGTATGGTGCCCTTTGGAATGACTGGTAGAATTTGTCTGAAATCTCTACCTAACACCACTGTTTTTCCACCAAAAGTCATATCGAAGCTGTTATGATTTTTGACACGCATTATATCTCTCATAGATCGGTCCAACGCTTCAAAACAGAATTTATGCATCATTGGCGCCTCATCCCAAATGATCAACCTACTTTTCATGATCAAGTGTGCCAAAGGACTGTTTTGGCTGATATTGCAGGTTGAATCTTCATTAACAGCGATCGGAATGGCAAACCTTGAATGTGCAGTCCTACCACCTGGTAATAGAAGGGAAGCTATGCCACTTGATGCAACATTCAGTACTATCTCACCCTTTGACCTTATAGCAGAAGATAATGCTCTCCACAAGAATATTTTACCCGTTCCACCATATCCATTAACAAAAAATAGTCCTCCAAGATTATTCTCAGCATCTTGCAAAACATTGCCATATATTGTTCTTTGCTCTTCAGTTAGTTTATCCACCAAAGCATCATTCTCTTCCTTCATTGCAGTAGTATCATATGCCAATTCCTCATGTATCAACCGATTGGTTGTTCTGCAGTGATTAACTACATCGGCTATCGGCATCCCCTGAAAGTCTTTCAAACTTTTTCCCATAGCTGAAAGCATTATTTCAATCTCCGTAAGTGCAAAATTCTTCTTTTCATCTTCAGATATAATCCAATCTGTGACAATATTATTTACACTAAGTGTAAAATTTTTGTTGTAAAATAGAACTATAAGAGTAAGAATGGAATAATATAATACCTGGCTTTCCCAATTGTTCTCTAATCTTGAATTGTGCATCATCTGACAAATGAATCCACGCAGCCTCCCAAACCACCTCTGGTTTTGCTATTGAGTTAGTCATCAAGAGAGTGACAAATAATCTTCTCAGATTCACAGCTGTAGCCCAATGACTTGCTTCTTCTATAGCATAAACATACTCCCTGTCATCATCTACTAATCCTCTTGCACAACATGCATCCCTAAAAGAATCATATTGGACACCATCCACTGTTTTTATATCTAAATAACTTGTCGGACCTTTGACCTTATTCAACAGACACCTTAAATAAAAGATTTCCCCTGATCCAGGAGGCACATAGAAAACTCTACCGATAGAGAATCCTCTTTTTCTGGGCTGCCATTTTCGAATATCTTTCTTCCACACAAACTTTGTTGGCATTTCAGCATATGTCAACTTCCTTGCTTCTGGGAAGTTTTTATTTGCCTCGAACCATTCTAGGAACATGCTTTGCAAGATTGTTGGCCGACTGAGTATGTTATCAACGGGGTCATCATCTGCGAAAACAACACTTTGTTGGTTCGGCAAGTGAAAGCTTAATCGTTCCACTGATGGTGTCCTAAACTGTATATCAAAACCGAACAACCGCCACGATGCTTCACACGGAGATATGTACCTAAAATCATAGTACATACTAATTTCATCCAGAACTTGTGCGCCATCTTGATCATTGCTGGTTCTGTAAAACTCTGTTGTTACCCTGTCATGACCCTTGTTCACGTACTTGAATAGGTATTTGATTGAACGGGACTGATTACACCATTCAACATTAATATGAGCCCTATACTTTAACAACAAATGCCTATTGTGTGGTACCACGTACCTATTATCCAAGTCAATCCCATTCCGTGTCACAGACCGACCATTGTCTCTTCTCCGATATATAGGATAACCATCCTCATCAAAAGTTGAGCAATTAACAAACTTTTTGGGAAAATGTTTAGTACATTTACCATTTGCCATACAGGGAGAACTCAATCTGGCTTTCCCGCAAGGTCCATGCATCATAAACTCCTCAACTGCTTTGAAGTATTCTGCGTCAGCTTCTTGATCAGGCAGCTCAGCGGAAATAATGTTGTCCAAATTGTCAACATTATGATATCCATTGACTTTATCAAGAAACAGCAGAATATGAGCATGCGGCAAACCTCTTTTTTGGAACTCTATGGTATATATAACTGGTAAAAAAAAAAAAAAGAAACATTACGAATGGCAAAAAACTTCTAACATTTATCTATAGGAACTGTTTTAAATAGTGGCATTTAATTTACATACCTCCCATCACTGGCCCAAATTACTTGTTCTTCCGACAATCTGAGATTAGAGCATCCAATTTCATTTTGAATAATCTACATATTATGTCAGGACGATCTTCAGCTTTTAACTTTCGATCCTTCAAGAAGCGTTGTACCTCGGGCCACTTGGGGTTGCAGGTGAATGTGATAAACAGATCTGGATATCCAACCAATTTACATATAGCCATAGCGTCCTGATAATTTTGAATCATGTATCTAGCACCCCCTGTAAAACTTGAAGGCAATATTATCCTCTTTCCTTGAGTAGTGGGGTCAACTTCACCACGTGTTAATGCATCATTCAAGCAATTATATGATTCACACCTCAAACTTTTTTGATGTGTCCTTATATAGATTAACCTTCCTGACTCAACCATTGTATAGGCATCTACCAAAAATTGTTGGAATAACCTTTTTGAATGCAATAAAGTAGATACCTCAGATAACCTTGACTGTATACGGTATGCAAAATATTCTCGAGGACTTATCCTTTGACGGCCAGCACTTATGTTTCCTTTTAATGTAGAGAAGGTGATGCGGCCCAACATAATGAAGATCCATTAAGATTACAAATTAAGCCAATCACAAGATCCGAGGCCCAAATCAGCTTTATTATTTGTGGTCATCATTTATTTTAAATTGTTTGGCATAAAAGAGAAAACACTAGTTTGTATTTAGAAAGGATTCCTTAAATCCTTTTCTAAATAAAACTATATTTACTTGTTTTCTAGATTAGGTTTAGGACTCTTTTTCCCATTGTATTTAGATTACAATGCTGCCCTATTTATAGGTATAGGGCAGCATTGTAATCTAAATACAATGGGAAAAAGAGTCCTAAACCTAATCTAGAAAACAAGTAAATATAGTTTTATTTAGAAAAGGATTTAAGGAATCCTTTCTAAATACAACTAGTGTTTTCTCTTTTATGCCAAACAATTTAAATTAATGATGACCAAAAATAATAGGGCTGATTTGGGCCTAATTTAATCACCAAAATCAGCACTTAAACAATTATAAAAAGCCTTGTAATATTCTTCATCTTTTGCAAATGGGCTTGACTTGGATTTCCACTTTGAATATCACCAATGAAGAGTTGTCTTAATCGTTTGTACTTGGGCCTTGTGATTGGCCCAATTGGTACTCTTGATGGATATTCATTATGTTGGGCCGCATCATCATCACCTTCTTGAAAATGATTCGACCTCGAATCTTGTAAGCATTGTCTTCGATCCATGATATCACTTGAAATGGGCCACTATAATACTTTCCTCTATCGAATGGAATTATTATTGGGCCTTCTTGTTTCTTCCACCAATGATTCTTTAAGGATGTAGTTTTGGGCCTTGTGATGAGCCCACTATAGACCCTTATTGGATTCCATGTGTACTGGTTCTTATTATGGCTAATTGTGGACTCAATTAGTGGCTAGTCGTGGACTCGACTAGCAAATTGATTCGTGGATTCGAATCAATCTTACTTTCTTCAACCTTAGATTTAGGTTCGTGGACTCGTTCTTGAATCGAAGGAAACTAGATCCGACTCTAGTTGAAAAAAAAAAAAAGAGAAAGCAATAAAGAAGAATAAGGTTGGGGAAAGAATTTGGCTGGTAGGAGAATTTTGGAGGGACAAGGAAGGGGAAAAGTATAAGGTTGGAAGGAGTTCTTTAATGATTCCTAATTGGTTGTGGTACACGTGAACCCATTTTATATTCTATTTGTCTCTATCTTTTGATATTGGTCTTGCATATCTTTCTGCCATACTTCCTTCTTTAGTTTCCTTTTTCTTTCAAATCTTATTTAGTTTCTTTGCTCGTATTGTCCTTTTTCTTTGCTTCTTGCTCTCAATTTTATTACCTATCTCGCGATACACCCTTACTCTCAAAGTCTTGTGAAGTTTTCCAAGGTACGTTTTCTTGAACTTTGAGGTTGAATCCATATCAACTTGAGTTCCGGACTAGAACTTTCCTTTTTGGAAAAAGGCTTGTGAGAGTATTTGCCACCTGGAGTGATACATGAGTGGAGTGTGTGTTTGTAAGAGTGTGTAGTGAACCCCCAGAGCCATATGATCTATCTCTTACCCGTGAGCTGAGAATAGTGAGGGAGCGAGCCAACTTTTTGGTTTCACTAACGTGATTACTCACACATCTTCTTGTTTTTTTTTTAGATATTTTTTTTTTCCTATACAGATGGCTGATCAAGTTCCAAATCTTCCCCAGGCATTAGAACAAAAGATAGACAGGTTACTCAAACAAGTGAATAATTTGGAGCCACGCTCACACCAAGTGCAACCACCACACAATGATGAGCGACACCTGCCACCGGCAGGAATAGTGGATCCTAGATGTCAAAGGATCCAGCAGCGTAATGCGGAGTTAGGAAACATTAAACATGAAATTCCTAACTTTACCGGTGAGAAAGGACCTACTGAATACATAGAATGGGAGAATGCTGTTGAAACTCTTTTCCATTTAAAGCACTATTCTGATTTTACAAAAATTAGGCTAGTTGCTACATCTTTTAAGGGTTATGCATTATCTTGGTGGCGAAAAAGAAATAGAGAGAGAGTTGCTAATTTTATTCCCTATGAATCTTGGGTTCAAGTGAGGGAAGATATGCGCCTAACCTTTCGTCCTAAATCTTTTTTGTATGATCTTGAAAGAAAATTGCAGGGAACGGTGCAAGGAACAAAGTCAGTTGACGAGTACCACCAAACTATAAATATTTTGCTTAATCAGAGAGACATACATGAAGAAGAGACAAAAACTGTTGCTCGTTTCGTACATCGATTGAACTTAGAAATTCGATGTGGAATGAGTTTTCAGAGATATGACACCCTTTATGATGCCTTGTATGCTGCACGTGAATCTGAGGTAAAAATCAAAGAGATGAAAATGTACAAGTCCAAAAATGATGCATCGAGATGGAACAACACTCGTTCCACCTCTCAAAAGCGTGATGAACATCCTCCTCCAAGAGATGATTCACAAGACAAAGGTAAGGAAAAGGTAAGTGAGGCAGCGAGGCCTCAACATGATAGAGAATTGATTTGTTATAGATGTAATGAGAGAGGCCACATAGCTCGTGATTGCCCTAACAAAAGGGTAGTTAAGATAACAACACAATCTGAAAAATTTACTTCTTGTCTTGAATCTGAGGATGAGGTATGTGACCATTTTGAAACCCCCAATGAACATGTTGACGGAGAACCTTTCATACCTTTAGATTTTGATTCTAAATATGCTGATAGTGAGTCTAGTCATAATCTTGTTGTTAAGGAGGTTTTGAATGTTCACCCTTTAAAAGAAGATGATTCTCAAAGAGAAAATATATTTTGTGTTAAAGGGTCAATTAAAGAGAATGCTTGTGCTATGGTAATAGATTCTAGAAGTTGCACAAATGTGGCTAGTGCAGCTATGGTTAAATTTCCCCAGTTACCTTTGCTTAATCATCCAAATCCTTATTATTTGCAATGGTTAACTGATGTAGGAGAAGCTAGAGTAACCAAACAGGATCTTATTCCTTTATCTATTAACAGTTACTCTGATGAAATCTTGTGTGATAATATCCCAATGCAGGCTGCTCATATCTTGTTAGGTAGACCATGGCAATTTGACCGAAAAATAAGTTATGATGGAATGAAGAACACTTATGTGTTTCACATGAATGGAGTTACATATGTCTTGCCTCGTTTGTATCCTAAACAAGTAGAAGAAATTCAATTGACATTGATGCAAGCTCTCAAACCAGCCTCAAACAAGGAAGAAACCAAAGAGAGAAAAGTGGAACCTCCATGTTTGGAATTGCAATCACCACTCCAATCCTCTAACTCAGTTTGTAGCCAAACAAAGGGACCACAATCAGTGATACAGTGGAAAGGACCAGCCCAAGGTGTCAAAGTGCAACCTCTCTTGGTCACTACAAAGGATATTAAGCAAGAGAAAAGAAGGGGAGTAACTATTTACTCACTTTTATTTCAAAAGCATGCATTAAAATTCTCTAGATTTGTTTGCCATGTTTCTATTAATGATCTACTTTCTAGATGTGTTAGAAATTTGTTTGCATCCATACATCCGAGATTCCTTAACTTTGATTTTACTAAAACTTTGTTTGATAGAGATAAGGAATCACTGGAAAGTTATAAGGCACATTTGAAAACTTCTTATGTGAAACACTACTTGCTCAAGGGGTTTTGGTTCAAAGTCAATGGGATTGGCACTTTTTGCTTTGTTTTGGGCAATGGTTTAATTGTTGATTCACATAAAGGATACTTTGGTTTTCCAAAGAGTGATGATGTTTTGCATGTATATTTTCATTGGCCAAAAAAGAAAAAAGATGTAGAATCTTATGTTCATAATTGTGCTACTTACCACCACAATACATCTAAAACATTACTTGATATTTCCATGGATTTTGTGTTTGGTTTAGCCTTAAGCTCTAGAAGGAAAGATGTTGTGCTTGTTGAAAATTCAAACAAGATGACTAAATTTAATATGTCTCGTTTTGCTGATCTATTACTATCCAGAATGTTTAAATTCCATGATGTGTCATTAGACTTAATTGCCTTAATTGTTGATTGTAGGATGATGATTGGAGCGACTGGTGTCAAGCATCCCAAGAAAAAGTTCCATGAGCGTGATAAAACAGAAAGTGAGCTTGCTACTTTGTCTTTCATTGAAGATTTGGATTCGAGGACGAATCCTTTTCAAGAATGGGAGAATAATAAGAACCAGCACACATGGAATCCAATAAGGGTCTATAGTGGGCTCATCATAAGGCCAAAAAGTACATCCTTAAAGCATCATTGGTGGAAAAATCAAGGAATTCCAATAATAATTCCATTCGATAGAGGAAAGTATTATAGTGGCCCGTTTCAAGTGATGTCACGGATCGAAGACAATGTTTATAAGATTCGAGGTCGAATCATTTTTCAAGAAGGGGAGGATGATGCGGCCCAACATAATGAAGATCCATTAAGATTACAAATTGGG